GGTATAGGTGAATTGGATGAACTAAACTGGTTGTAGTGTATGAGTTAGTGTGTGAATGAGTGTGTAAGGGTGTTTCCCAGTATTGGGTTGCGGGTGGAAAGGCATCCGCTGCGTTAAACATATGCTAGAATAGTTGGTGGTTCATTCCACTGTGGTGACCTCTGAAATAGAGACTAAGCCAATTCCTTTGGGAAAACATATACAACAGATTAAGTAGTAACTCCACACAAAAATGACAACTGGCCCAGCCGAGGCTCAAACCAGCAACCTTCTTACTGTGAGGCGACAGCGCTACCTACTGCACCACCGCACCAACCCACTAATTAATTTTAAAAACTTAAATAGATATTTAAAATAATTAATAAATGTTAATTGGGACCCCAAATAGGTTTTAAGATAGTTTTATTAAAAACAAAATGTATGCTTTGGCTAAATAAATAAACAAAACATGTTCATGATTCTACAAGGATTATGACTAAATGGTTCTGAAAGAAAAAAAAGGTACATTTGTTTTATCCGCTGTCTAAAATGACTGCAGGTGGCATGGTGGTTCAGTGGTTAGCACTGTCGCCTCACAGCAAGAAAGTTCGAGTCCCGGCTGGCATTTCTGTGTGGAGTTTGCATGTTCCCCCAGTGTTCACGTGGGTTTCCTCGGGGTGCTCTGGTTTCCCCCACAGTCCAAAGACATGCGGTATAGGTGAATTGGATGAACTAAACTGGTTGTAGTGTATGAGTTAGTGTGTGAATGAGTGTGTATGGGTGTTTTCCAGTATTGGGTTGCGAGTGGAAAGGCATCAACTGCGTTAAACATACGCTAGAATAGTTAGCGGTTCATTCCACTGTGGTGACCTCTGAAATAGAGACTAAGCTGAAGGAAAATGAATGAATGAGTGAAAATGACTGCATTGAATTAAAATGGGAAACTAATTTATTTCAGGGAAATATTTTGTTGTGCACTAAAGCTAAATCTTACTGAAAGCTAGCTTTTCGAGATGTGAAACTCAACGAAATCAAAAAATATCTAATCATTTTTTATTGGGTTTTTCTCAACATTAAATCAAGACATCTAAACATCTGAACATCACATTAAATCAAAACGACTCCAGGACAGGGCATCGCTGTGGCGCAGTGAGGAATGAATGACTCCAGGAAAACATACAAAACTTAAAAATAATAACAACAGTAAAAAAAAAAAATCTATAAATAAATAAAAATAAATAAACAAAATAAAAAGGTTAATAAATATTTTACATACAATATCAACAGTAATTCACAATTTAACTTTGATGTTTTATTTAATTTCTATGCTGTCAGGTTTACTTGGTTGCAGTAGTGTAGAAAGGGATTCCAAATGCTATAAAAATCTTTTAACTTCCCCTTAATAATGTATGTCAGTTACAGGACATTACAGGACATTTCCTTGATCAGAAGAGAGCCTTTGTAAAATAGTTTTTGAGTCATATTTCAAATCAGAGTATTGGCCTATTTTGAAGCATTTTTCACAACAATAAAATAATTAAAATAAATGATAAAAATGTCCATCGGCTTTTTCTACTTTTGCAAAGGGTCCTATTTAAAACAAGATTAAATTTCAGTCAGTAATTCATCCAAAATTTACAACAGCTTAAGTTGGAAATATAATTTTCAAGTCTATGCCATAAAAGTGGTTAAAACTCCCAAAATGTAAAATAAATACTACATGTTATCTAGCAAAATAATTTAGTCAATATTTTAGTAAATAAAAAAATGTATAAATAATTATTGACATAGGGTGACACAGTCGCCTCACAGCAAGAAGGCAGCTGGTTTGAGTCCCAGCTCTGTCAGTTGGCATTTCTATGTTCAGTTTGCATATTCTCCTTGTGTTAGTGTGCATTTCCTCCAGGTGCTCTGGTTTCCCACACAGTCCAAAGACATGAGCTATAGATGAATTGAATAAACTAAATTGTCTGTAGTGTATGAGTGTTTCCTAGTACTGGGTTGCAGCTAGAAGGGCATCTGCTATGTGAAACATATGCTGGATAAGTTGATGGTTCATTCAGCTGTGGCGACCCTGATAAATAAAGGGACTAAACCAAAGAAAAATGAATGAATGAAAAAAAAAAAAAAGATTAAGGAGCATCAAAGTATAATAATAATAATATAAATAAATAAATACTTGTAAAAATGTTGCACACCTGCATCCAGCTATGGTAAAATAGTGCAGGACATATAAAATGTCTGATGACAAAGTAGATTTCAGACGACAGACCACATAAAATACTTATTCATGATTACATTACTTAAATTATAAAGATTATTTTAAAATAACTAATTGGAGCACTTCGGTAAAATATTTTAGTAATGCATTAAAACAAATAAACGCAGAACTCGTTCATTTCAGAGCAGTGTACCGTTCACTTTGCATTGATCTTTCTGTTGATAATTGTTTTGTTTACTTTGGTTTGCTGCTTGCTGCTGTAGCTCTCTTTTCTTTAAGTGTGTCAAAGGTCATTATGAGATCGCTTGCAAATGCAAACACCCTAACAAAACCGCGTTACCACATTAGCTTACTATAACATAAAGCAGAAGACCTTACCGTAATAAACAACAGTGCATGATGAGACAACAGGCACAGCTCTAAAGTTATTGAATATGATACAGTGTAACCAGAAAATAGGTCTGGAAGGAAACAAGCATAAAGGAACGTTTGGGTTTGCGATTTAATGCAAATGTATCAAAGTGGATTAATGGCCACTAGAGAGCACTATTTATTAGTAAATGAAACAGACACGACTTCACTGTTCTGAGTTTATTGTGAACCGTTATTCTATTCTATTCTATTCTATTCTATTCTATTCTATTCTATTCTATTCATATACAGTGGAAGCTGTTTGTTTTGTACAAAGAATGATTATTAATAGATAACTAAAAGTAACTTTTATTAGTAATTGAAACTATAACAGTAATAACTTTGGTACAAAAGAGTGTTTAAATGAGTTTATTTGATTAGGTTACTGATCCAGTATATAATTAAGAAAGAAATCCTAATCATTTCTCATCTATTTCATGCCATAATTTCAAGCTTTTACAGAAGACGAACTGTGCAAATGAACACGCAAATCAAATATGAAGTAATTAATGTTCAATATGAGAATGTTGTTGCAGATTTACAAAGCGATGTCTCTAAACATTAAAATAAATAAACATATAGGCCCTTATGGAAAACTTTTTTGTCTTTTTGTCTTTTCAAACGAAAAACTAAGAAATATCAATATACGTTATCTGATCTGAGGATAGATGATGAACTACATAGAGAGCAAATTCCTTTTGCGCACGCGCACACACACACATGAAAATAATTTTCCTTTAAAAAAAACGAGGTTAAATGTTTTTTAGTCTATGTTATGTTCATCATTTATCTTGCCGTTTGGGTCTCCTATAAAATTAAATTAACATTTTTTTATACATTTTTTTGTAAATATTTAGTGAATTTTTAGTAACAAATATAAATTGTTCAAACACAAATGATGTGTACCAAAAATATATTTTTGTTATACAATAAATATAAAAAAAAAAAATATATATATATATATATATATATATATATATATATATATATATATATATATATATATATATATATATATATATTCAAAACATTTTGACTGTCCAGTTTGACCATGTTATATACTAATATTTATTTTGTGCAGCTTGTTAAAATGCCAGCATACTGCCATTATATATTTTGCACAAATGTAACGGTCAACTTACTACTTTATGGTAACCGTCCTTATTTTTATTTATTTATTCATTTATTACTAATGCATGATAGGCATGGGATGATAACCGCTTTCAAGGTATATTGCAGTTTGAAAAAGTCAAGCTTTTAAACTGTGTGTCCGATGTCCGATTTTTTGATTTGTTTGTATTTAGGGCAACAGTTTCTCCAGCAAAAAAAGAAATCTGAAGATGCCGTTTTACATTGTGAAGAAATCTGTGTTTTTGAAAATAACAAATAAAGCATAAGTCAATAATTCATTTAAATTTTTTTTAGCTTGATATGTTTACTGCTCCAAAGTACTTTAAAGGTTTCTCTAACTAAAATAAATGGTGTTCAAATGAACTTGAAAAAAATGAAAAAAAACTTTAGTTTTTTACTCAGATGTTTAAAAAGAATATATTTTAGAGCAGAAATCACAATACTGTGAAACAGTGATATTTTTATTATCGACAATATTTTATTATCATACCATCAGAATCTTATACCAGCCCATGCCTAATGCGTGAACAACATACAGAACATGCAAAATAATGCCAGATGTGTACAGAAAAAGATATGAAGTGCATAGAAGAGTTATGTATAAGAGTATAGACTCAAAAAGTAAAACAAAGTTTAAAATACAATGATATAACCTTTATTATGCTTTAAACGACCAACGCGTGACAATAGAACATACTATATAATGCATGGGTGAAATAAGGTAAATAACAATAACAGTAGGAAAAAAACAAAGAAACAAAACAAACACAAAGAACAAGAGTATAAATAGTTAAATAAAATTCCTACAATTACAAATAATCAGGACCTTTACATTAATAAAGAAATTGGAAAACAGAGCTCAAATGAACAGTTTTAATGGCCTATTTCTATTAGCATGTTATATAGTACAAAAGTAAATTTCAGTTCCTTATAAAACAAAGTAAAACATTTTTTGTGAAAAATTTACACTTATGAATATGAAACTTAATTAACAAAATGGATATATCATTAACAAAAACTTTTATTCAGATTATCATAATTAAGATGTCCAAAAATTACGTTTTCTAAATGTAAATTGGAATTAAAGAGTACCTTTTTTTGATATAGACAGAAGTATCATACCAAAGCTTTTTATCATTACCACAGAGCCAAAAGATGCGAAGAACAAAAAAACACAGGCATAGTTCAGCACGTGACGTCAGACGCATGGTTTTTGTCGCCGCGCGCTCCACCTCCCCGCGAGCACTCAGGCAAAAGTGTAAAAATGGCGTCCATCATGGAGGGGCCGCTGAGCAAATGGACTAACGTCATGAAGGGGTGGCAGTACCGCTGGTTCGTACTGGACTATAACGCCGGGTTGCTGTCATATTATACTGTAAGTATCTCTTGTACTGCTGCAGGAAAAGAGCGAGGGTTGACTGCTTAATGGTTTGTTCTGAGATCGTTTATTGCTAGAAAGGAAACGAGCACTAACAGGCCTGTCAGGAGTTGGGAATCTCAGCTGGTTTAGGCGGGGCTTGGCTTGAGTGAATGCTGCCTCAGCCAATCCAAGCCTTAAAGAGGAAGCCGTAAGCCAATGAGCTGTTAGACTCGCTGTGTTGCCAACAGGAAGGCCACCTCCCTTGGACAAAAAAATGCTTACTGTAGTGTAGTTTAGTTTGGAAATTTTAAAGGGTGGAGGCGTCCACATGTGACCGCTGTTTTAGATCCGTTTGTCGCATGGCGTTAAATGTGTTAACGCGCATTTCTTGCTTTGAAGGCTGTCTTTGAAAAGCTCTGTAAATGTTTTACACAAAATAGTAAAGCTAAGCTACGAGCTGCAGTTGATGACAGTAAATCATCCTCAGCTAGACCTCTCAGGTTTGTTACTGTGTTCATAAATAGGACATTTATATATATTTTAGTAAAAACGAACATTGTAGCCGTCCCGTTCTTCTCCAATGTTAACACTGTAACGTACAGACAGTAAATATTAAACGGTCAAACACATACATCTATCTGAAAGCTTTGATGCAACACTTTAGATGTGTAAATTCAGAATAAGTTGTGACTTCTCTTTATACTATGTGTACAGTTTTGATAATAATAATTGTATATAAAAAATCATAATGGTGAAAATAGTAGCATATAATGTCAAAATATGAGTGAAATGTCAAAATGCTAAATGGCAGGTTTCTGTAAAAATGAAAGAATACACTGTACGTGTTAAAACCTAACATAATAAGTGGTCATACTAAATTATATTTTATTCAAAACTTTTTTTTTCTGACAAAGGTGTAAAACTTAGTGATTTAAAGTCGGTTAATTAATATTTTGGGCGGGGCTTAATAATATGTAATAGTATGTTTTTGTTATATTAACTTCTGTTACACTTAATGACATGTGAAGATTTTTATTTTCTAAAGCTATGTAAAGACACATATAATTGTGTGAGTGAATGGCCAGATGAATCTGCCATTAAATGTCTTTGAAAGCAAGTGATAAGTTAAGGCAAAGGGGTAATAAAAAAGCATGAGAGAGGACTTGGGGATATAGCGCAGCCAGAAAAGCATGACATGTCTACAACATCATGTATGTTTAAAAAGACATACTGTATGGGAGAGAAGTGTCCAATTAGGATGTTTGAAACATAGATACTAGTCATGAGTGCAAAATTTGAACTGGATGTGTAAAAACAGTTGTGAATTCATTAGATTGATACATTATAAGGAACAAAAAGAAGAGGAGGCTTTAAATTGGGCTTGTGAAGGAGTAGTAGCTGAGAGAGGCCTGTTGAACCAGGAACCAGCAATGAAAACACAAAAGTGGAAGGAAGCAAGGATAAAGAGTATAGCAAATTTGAGGGACATCAGATTGTCCTGGGGAGGGACTGAGATGGGTTAGCTCCAGGCTGTCTCTGCTTTATTGGCAAATATTCCAATAGAGTATATTATTTTGATATCCATAACCTCCACACACTGAGTTTGATTCATTAATGGAAAAGCCAGAAACCATGACACACTTTACTGAGTGTGCACACTTTTAAAAATCAGGCCACAATGTGTATTATTTTTATTTTCTAAGGAAAATTTTAATAAACAGGACATATTCTGACGTATGAGAAGAAAACTTTTAACTCTATATTGATTTGACTCTGAAAACTACCTTTTTGCTGTTGACCGATATATGATATGCATTCTGGTACCCCGTTAAAGCACTGCTTTTGCAAGTCTTGTGCTACCCTTGTGTGTAATTGTCTAAAATATTATAAAAAGGTAATTCAATGATCATTTTAAGGATATCATATATATAAATACTAAAAGGCTACGAGTATTATTAAAATATGCTATTTTCAACTGTATAATCTAAATTATTGGTTGGTTGCGTGCATAATATTTCATAGGAGTTTACAATCTTACATATATTTATCATCGTAGGACTTCAGCACTGTGTTAATCTAAAGTCAAAACTCTCTTTTAACACTCTGTCTCCTCCTTCAGTCCAAGGACAAGATGATGCGTGGCTCTAGAAGAGGCTGTGTGCGACTACGGGTAAGAAGCTTTCCTTTATATCAAAGTAAGAATCAGCTGAATCTAGTCTCATTCTTATCCATCATTTCAAAGAATAATTCATGTCAGTGCTTGTCCACGTTCTGATTATTAATTTGGTTTGGCTGTACTGTTCAGTTCTCCCTGTCTGTCCTTGAGGATCTGCTCTGTCTGAGTATTTATAAAAAGAATGTGACATGATTTTATGCCTCATGCATTGTTTAAATAGATTTAGACTGCATCAGTTAATGAAGCCAAGTTCCTCTCTAAGTTGTCATATGGGTTGAAGAGGAGTTCATTTAATCAAAATCAGCTTTATAAAACATTTATATGTGGACCTCACCTAGCAAGCAGCTGCAATGGGATGCTATAACTTTTTTTAGAAGGTCTTTATATGGTCAAGCATTGAGATTTGTCTACAAAAATCATTTTAGATCTTGTTTGTGATATGATAGAAATGCCTCCATTCCATTAATAAACACAATGCTGTGAGATCTGTTCACCAGCAGATGGCATGCTTAGCAATTTAATGTTCAGAGGACAGTTATGAACTAGACAGTAAAGTTCGTCGAGACAAACTTTGAGGCTGGCTTGACAAAGCCTGTTGGTAATAGTTTGTTTAGTTTAAAAACAGTTTGAAAAAGTATAAGTAGCATGTTATTAGCATGATTCTAGCATGCATTAGCATGTTTCTAGCATGGATTAGCATGAATTAGCATGTTATTAGCATGAGTGTAGTACAAATTAGCATTTTATTAGCATGATTCTAGTATAAATTAGCATGTTTGAAAAAGTTTTTTCAAAGTTTGAAAAAGTATAAGTAGCATGTTATTAGCATGATTCTAGCATGCATTAGCATGATTTTAGCATGGATTAGCATGTTATTAGCATGAGTGTAGTATAAATTAGCATTTTATTAGCATGATTCTAGTATAAATTAGCATGTTATTAGCATGCTTCTAGCATGAATTAGCATGTTACTAGCATGATTCTAGAATAAATTAGCATGTCACTAGCATGATTCTAGTATGAATTAACATACTGCTAGCATGATTCTAGTATGAATTAGCAGGTTATTAGCATGATTTTAGCATGAATTAGCATGATTCTAGTATGAATTAGCATGTTACTAGAATGATTCTAGCATGAATTAGCATGTTACTCGCATGATTCTAGCATGAATTAGCATGTTATTAGCATGATTATAGTATGAATTAGCATGTTACTAGCATGATTCTAGCGTGAATTAGCATGTTATTAGCATGATTCTGGCATGCATTAGCATGTTACTAGCATGATTCTAGTATGAATTAGCATGTTATTAGCATGATTCTAGTATGAATTAGCATGTTACTAGCATGATTCTAGTATGAATTAGCATGTCACATAGCATGCTTAGGTGGTTGCTAGGGTATTCTGAGTGGTTGCTAAGTCGTTGCTAGGCAGTTGCTAGGGTGTCCTGAGTGGTTGCTAGGTGGTTGCTAAGATGTTGCTAGGCGGTTGCTAGGCTGTTGCTAGGTGGTTGCTATGGTGTTCTGAGTGGTTGCTAGGTGGTTGCTAAGGCATTGCTAGGCGGTTGCTAGGGTGTTCTGAGTGGTTGCTAAGATGTTGCTAGGTGGTTGCTAGGGTGTTCTGAGTGGTTGCTAAGGTGTTGCTAGGTGGTTGCTAGGGTGTTCTGAGTGGTTGCTAGGTGGTTGCTAAGGTGTTGCTAGGTGGTTGCTAAGGAGTCCTAAGTGGTTGCTAAGCAGTTGCTAAGGTGTTGCTAGGGTATTCTGAGTGGTTGCTAAGGCGTTGCTAGGTGGTTGCTAGGGTGTCCTGAGTGGTTGCTAGGTGGTTGCTAAGGTGTTGCTAGGTGGTTGCTAGGGTGTCCTGAGTGGTTGCTTGGTGGTTGCTAAGGCGTTGCTAGGCGGTTGCTAGGGTGTTCTGACTGGTTGCTAGGTGGTTGCTAAGGTGTTGCTAGGCGGTTGCTAAGGTGTCCCAAGTGGTTGCTTGGTGGTTGCTAAGGTGTTGCTAGGTGGTTGCTAAGGTATTCTGAGTGGTTGCTAAGGCGTTTGCTAGGTGGTTGCTAGGGTGTCCTGAGTGGTCACTAGGCCCTTATTAAGGCATTACTAGGCCGTTGCTAGGTGGTTGCTAGGCGATTGCTAGGGTAATTTGGATGGTTGCTAGGCAGTTGCTAGGGTACCCTGGTTGGTTACTAGGCAAGCCTCACATACATGCCTGATAAAACATTTATACTTAGTAAGCATTTCTAGCAAGTTACAGTACTTGGCTAGTCAATATTAGCATGTAGCTAATCACTGCTAGCATGTGTAGCATTTAGGAAGTTCCGTTTGCTAGCATGAGTCAAACGAGCCAATCTCCAAGTCTCTACGATGTTCTGATGCTGAGATATAGCTGTTGATGAATGGTTGCTAGGGTACTCTGTTTTGTTGCTATGGGCGAGGTTACAGAGTGCACTTGATTGTGGTTTGCTGTCTAAGTCAAATGAACCAACCCCCATGTCTCTATGACACTGCTATGCAAAGATATGCATCTTGGCCTATTTTAATGGAAGTCTATGGAATCAATTTGGGGGCGTGGCTTGTGAGCTTCATTATCATATTGAGATGCTCATTGGTTGTCTGAGTCAGATGAGCCATCCCCCAAGTCAATAGGACACTGCTAAGCAAAGATATGCATGTAGGCCAGTTATTAACATGAGTCTAGTATGAATTAGCATGTTACTAGCATGATTCTTGTACAAATTAGCATGTCATTAGCATGTTTCCAGTATGAGTTAGCATGTTATTAGCATGATTAGCATATGAGTAGCATGTTGCTAGCATGATTGGCATGTCATTAGCATGTTAGACTTATAAGCATTTGAAAGCACAGCTAATTACAGTCTATAGGACAGTTGCTAGGGTGCAGTATGTGGTAGTTAGGGGTGTGGCTAGAAAGTTAAAAGGCCATCAGTGATTGGCTGCTGGCTAGACTGAGTTAAATGAGCTTAGCCATTAGTCTCTATAACAGTCTGATGCAGAGTTATGAGCTCACAAAGTTTGATCCCATGGAAGTCAATGAGAGTCTTTTGTAATGGAAGTCTACGGGACAGTTGCTAGGGTGCAGTATGTGGTAGTTAGGGGTGTGGCTAGAAAGTTAAAAGCTCATCAGTTATTGGCAGTTTGGTAGTCTGAGTTAAATGAGCTCAGCCATTAGTCTGTATGACAGTCTGATGCAGAGTTATGAGCTCACAAAGTTTGATCCCATGTAAAGTCAATGAGAGTCTTTTGTAATGGAAGTCTACGGGACAGTTGCTAGGGTGCAGTATGTGGTAGTTAGGGGTGTGGCTAGAAAGTTAAAAGCTCATCAGTTATTGGCAGTTTGGTAGTCGTAGTTAAATGAGCTCAGCCATTAGTCTGTAGGACAGTCTGATCCAGAGTTATGAGCTCACAAAGTTTGATCCCATGTAAAGTCAATGAGAGTCTTTTGTAATGGAAGTCTACGGGACAGTTGCTAGGGTGCAGTATGTGGTAGTTAGGGGTGTGGCTAGAAAGTTAAAAGCTCATCAGTTATTGGCAGTTTGGTAGTCGTAGTTAAATGAGCTCAGCCATTAGTCTGTAGGACAGTCTGATCCAGAGTTATGAGCTCACAAAGTTTGATCCCATGTTAAGTCAATGAGAGTCTTTTGAATGGAAGTCTATGGGACAGTTTCTAGGGTCCAAAAGTGGTTGCTAGGGCGTGGTTAGAAAGTTTAAAAGTGATCAGTCATTGGCAGTTTGATAGTCTGAGTTAAATAAGCCCAGTTAGAGTTCTGTGCGACAGTCTGACGCAGAGTTACGAGGTCACAAAGTTTGGTCCAATGTTAAGTCTATGGGATTTTTCCGACAGTCCCGGGACGTTTTTCGGAAAACCGAAAGTCCAATCAGTCTGAGGAGATATAGCATACCGAGTCAGAATAGTTTGGAGGTCTGGTGTGAGTTTGGTGGTAATAGTTCGAAAGTTCAAGGAGGAGATAGATTTTGATTTTTAGAGTCAGAAGAAGAATAATAATAATAAGTTTAGAAAGGATAACAGTAGTCTGGCTTTGACAAGCCAGCCTAAATATTTAATCCATACAGTTTTTACAATATGCAGAGAAGAATGAATGATAATCTTAAGGCGGTGTTGTATTGTTAGTATTGTTGTTATTTCATTAAAGCAGGCGTTAAAGATTATTTAAAACTAGAAATGACAATCTCTGTCAAAATCATTCACCCCAACCCTGCCCATCATTCGTTCTCTTTTCTCAGATGGGATAGTGGGCCACATCAAAGGTCACTGCGGGCCATAGTTTGAGTATCTCTGCATTAAAGTGATTGTTCAGCCAATCTGTCATCCTTCACGTGTTCAAAACCTATTTTATTTTGAACATAAAAGAAGAAAATTTTAAGTATGCTGGTTGATGTTTCTCGTTGACTTCCATATTTTTTACTATTACAGAAGTTAATGTGTCCCATCAACCAGTATTTTTCTAAAAATCTTCTTTTGTGTTCAACAGAAGAAACTTGTAAAGTTTAAAACCACACGAGTAGAGTTAATAGTCAGATGATAATCTGTATGTGTATATAAAGCTTATGTACTAAGCTTAAGTGTACTAAAAAAGGCTGTCATGATTGTCAATGATGAGAGACATCCTTTATCATACACCTTCAAATTGTTACCATCAGGTCGTCGATATTGTGCCCCCAGATGTGTAAGAAATAGGGCAAAATTATAATCTTTATCTGAAGCAATGAAGTTTTATAAATTCCTCCTCTCTCAGTAGCAGTTGATAACCAGTAGACTGGATATTTATTGAGAGGTACCGTGTTTTTATATGTTAGATGTCTCTGTGTGTGTATGTTGCAAAATAAAGTTAGCTAACCAAGTTGATATACACTACTGGTCAAAAGTTTGGGGTCAGTTTTTTTTTTTTTTCCCAAGAAAATTATTCTGTACATCAAGGTTGTATTCATTAAATGTAAAAAAAAATGGTTACATTTCTTATTGTATGTAGTTTCAAATGAAATAATACTCCATTATTGCTTTTATTACAATAATAATAATAATAATAATAATAATAATAAATCATATTAGAATGATTGCTGAAAGATCATGTAACTGGAGTAATGAAGCTGAAAGTTCACCTTTAAAATCACTGGAATAAATGATTAAATTAAATTACAAACTACATCTGAACAGTTATTCTATAGTGCAATAGCATTTCACAAGTTGTACTGTATTTTTGATTAAATAAATGCCCCCTTTGTGAGCACGAGAAGCTTATTTTAAAATGGTTATAAATCCTACTGACCCCAAACTTTTGACCGGTAATGTAAATGCAGTTTCTTTGAGAGCTGCTTGAAGTTAAATTACTTTAAAATCAAATTCATAACAGATATTTTTGTGAGTAGAAATGTTGTGTATCTCTTTTGATATCAGTGCTATTTAATTGCTGTCATCAATAAGTAAATGATTCCAAAAATTGCCTGAGAGTGAGTAGATGTAGCTTAAAGAAACATTAAAGACATTAAAACAGCTTAGGGCGTTGGCTGCTTTTTCTCAAGGCCTGTGGTCTGATCTGATGTGAGCAGTTTCAAGCAACCGACAGGAAGAGAGCAATAAAGGCAATGCGGTGCTTATCTTTATATTTTCAGCATTTCCTTATTTAAAACCTTGAAATGTTTTCATAATGTTGCTTTACTGCTTTATAATGTAAGAAAGGTTGTTGAAATGAGAATCTGCTCCATCAGGTTGGAAAGTGTTAATTGTTGCATGTTTTTCCTCTGGTCCTGTAATACTTAGTGAATATGCTGCAGTTTTACCCCCTCTCTCTCTCTCTCTCTCTCTCTCTCTCTCTCTCTCTCTCTCTCTCTCTCTCTGTCCTCCTTTCTCAATTTCCATCTCCTTCCCCTTTCTTTTTTTTCTCCTCCTTTTCCGTCTCATTTTTTTAATCTCGCTTACTCCACCCATTCTCTCCCACCCCTTTCTCTCTCTCTCTCTCTCTCTCTCTCCTGGTGTGTGAGGGAGCAGGGCAGAGGAACGTAGAGAAAAAGAGAGGGAGTGAATGACGTGTCTCTTAGTCTGAATGGCTTTCGCTGCGATCCTCTTTTGCAGGGAGCTGTGATTGGAATCGATGACGAGGACGACAGCACTTTTACCATTACCGTAGACCAGAAGACTTTCCATTTTCAAGGTGAGGTCTCCTCTCTTTCGTTGTCCTGGGGCTTTCGTCTTGTCCATGTCTCTCTCTCTCTCTCTCTTTCTCTCTCTCTCTCTCTCTCTCTCTCTCTCTCTCTCTCTCTCTCTCTCTCTCTCTCTCTGTCTGTCTCATCTTCTGTTCTTTGGCAGCTCCTGCTGAGATGCTTTTAACCAGTGTTTATATTGCAGCCATCAGCCGGCTGCTCACGTGTGCCTGGTCTGACTGTCTCGCTCTTTCTCTCTCTCTCATCTCTCTCTCTCTCGCTCACTCTCTCTCTCATTCTTCCTACTCCTCTCCTCCTTCCACTCTGTTTATTTTTGCTCCTGCTTACTCATTCTCCCCACACATGCTCTTTTTCGTTTTGATCGTAAAGAGGATTATGACATCAATAACCAGCGCTCTAATGCAAACACGACCCACTCTTGCATCACAATCCAAACATGCATTAGGCCCGGTGCATTTGTCCGGCTTATCTCTTGCGAATTGAGTGCGGGATCTGCGTTGAATTTCCGCTAGGAATTTTCCCCGGAGCCGGAGGAACTCTTGGCGGAGCGGAGTAGAACAGAAAGTCTCACCGCAGAGTTGCGCAAGGCTGCCAAGCTCCAGGTTTTTAGCTTCTAGCCTCCACCTTCTTTCACTGGCTCATCTGTCCTCCTCCACCCCCCCTGGCATCCGCCCTACCGGTGGGTTCGTTCACTCTCCCCATGCCCTCACCCACTGCTATGTTCCGACACTGTATGCTGTGGCTTTACAGTAAGAAGGGTAAGGTCACTTTCAGCTGGGATTGCATCTTCTGCAGTGATTGTTTATTGTTGGTGTTGGTGTCGAAGGCTCGTGTCGTGGAGATCCAGAATTTGGTTTTTGTTTACAGCTGAAGCCTTTCTCAGGTTTTTGTTAGCTTCGAGTTTGTCATTTTTATGGGTTACAGGTGTTGACGTATGTACTTGACGGCGCCAGAATGTTTATATTGTGTCATTTTTATTTATTAGGGATCGTTTTAGGTTTGTTCCATCCCACAGCAAAGCTTGTCGCTACCTCACACTTGTTTATTCATTTTCACTCTGACTTTTTTAATGTTATGTGACAGGCATGCTATGGTATGCCAATTGAAACTTAAAAACAGCAAAGCAAATAAGGACATAAGCTAATCAGCAATGTCAGATTTCCGGTTTTCCATTTGCATGTTTGTATTTTAGTGGTAGAAAGAAGGTGGTAGAGTCTGAGTTGTCTGATAAGGTGTTTTACAGAGACTGTTTACGCAGATTGCAGTTTACGCACCATCCAAAACTTTCTTAAGTTGAACATTGAATATGTTTTTACTGAAATCGTGAGGCTACCAACACTTTGAGAATAAAAAAAAACATCCATGTAAAACAAAAAAAAAAAATCAGTCTCAACTTTTTTTATTGTACATGGAGATCTTATAAAGTGAAAATATCAGTCTATGTAAGAAAATGAACATTATTTACAATAGCTAGGTTTCCATTCACCTATTCTTATGCACATTTTGGATATGCGCATTAAAAACGATTGATTAAAACGTCAAGATGCGCATGAAAAATGTATGAGCATAACTGAGTAGGACAAACTTTTTATTCGATAAGAGAAGATGCGCATAAGCTACGATCGGAAACACTTTTACTGAACAAATTCCAGTATGCACATTAAAGAAGTCATGTGATTTTGTTATAAGAGATCATATGATGATAAAGATGTGTGTGAATGGACAAACCATCAGGCTGAGCACACTGTAAAACATCTGAAATGTTGTTTTGGTCATTCTAAAATGCCTTAACCATTTCAGTATTAGTGTTATTATATTATTAAAAACCTCCAGAACTGTCTAGAGCGTCTGTGCTCCGCATCTAAAGCCTTCAAATGCCACCGAGCATCATGTATCGGCATTGCCTATTGAGGAGCACGTCATTTATTAAATAAAGAAAAGATTGACGCAGCTTCTTCGACTGCAGCAGTTTTTACTATTGATATTTGGCACCAGTTAATCAGGAAGTAACTATTTTGTTCTCTTTGACTGCTTTAAACACTGGAGACGCTGCTTTATTTGCACATCTTTTATACGATATTGGAGTTTTGCAAATAAATTTAATTCACATTTTTGGATGGAAACATAGCTAATGATGTTACTGTTAATACATAGACTCTTCAAATTCTAAGCATTATAGATGGTTTCACTTTGTAAGACCTTGTTCCGTGTATTGTCAAGTGCCAGAGGTGTTAATTTAGTCAATCCTGTTTATGTTTTTAACTCTCTCAGGTTGCAAGTATCTGTTGACCTGCATTTTATAAATAACTAAAGATTACAGTTTCCACTAAAAACCTTCTTTAATGTTTAACTGAAGAAGAAAAGTAACCACCATCTTGGGAGTAAATGAATAGCAAATTTCAGTTTTTGGGTGAACCATCCCTTTAATGATTAGTCTCAGCAATGCATTGTTTTACTTGCCTGTTTCAAGTTATATGTTTTGAAAATTCATACTTGATAATGATTAGATTGCCATTATTTATTTTGATCATTAGGGATTGTTTAAGACTCATTCCATCTGGTAATCAGTCTTGTTGCTTTCTTGCACTTATTAAATAAAGATAATTGTTTTTATCTTTTAATCCTAAACTCAGTTGTGGTATGGTGGTATAAACTCAGCTATGGTATGCCAATCCAAATCTTTATTCGTTAATTTATTTATTCAGGGAATTATTTATTCAGGGAAAAAAATGCTGCCATAGCCTGACCTGGTGTGTCAGATTTCCTCTTGTGTGTTCGCACGTGTGTATTTCAGTAGATTGTGAGTGTGGTCCGCAGGCTTCGATTTCAACAATCTCTTCATACCATCCACCTCTTTGCGTCCTCAGGGACTCATTTTATCAGTTTTCATATCTCCGTTGCTGCTGCAGCCATTTACCCCACAGCGGAAATGGTTTTGCGCCTCCTGATCTCAGTGGACCGGAATTGCAACACAAGTTGCTAGTATAATAGTTATTTTTGGCATGCATTTAGAGTTACATAGTGCCATGTTGGGTTCAAAATGGCATGTCCTTGTAGACATAAGCAAATGAAGATATGAGCATTGTTACTATAAATATCATATCTATTCTAGACTTGGATTGCATTCTCACAATATAAACGATAAATCTTCAGATTGCAGTAAATGACATGGAATTCACATTTACCTGAGTATTCTAACTAAAAATGACAGGACCATTATTATTTTTATACTTTCAGCAAGAATATAATAATTTTTGTTAGGAATGTTGATGGTATACAGTTTAACCAAAAATAATGACCAGTCTTTCAGATGAAGAAGAGCCGGAGTAAGAGATTCAAATAAATAAAGTTTACTGAAGATAGTTTGCAGTTTCATCAGCAGAAGCCAGCTTCAACACTCACAATGAGTTCCTAGGCCGCTCTGCTTACAATCACCAATCAATAACAATTATACTCTCACATAACGTCATTAACTGCGTCATACATATAGTTGTTCTAACCTGATTGGTTAAAACACAGATAGACTAGGAAAATATCCACATGGGGTTTGTGCGTACAATTCTGAACAATCACTTAAGCTTAAACGTCAGATATCCACTGTTTAGAGTTGACTCCAGACCTGTAAAACAGATCCACAATCAAATAGAACACACAAACCTAAAGTACAATCTGTTTCTTATCCAAGGCTGAGTTTACTCTCTGCTGTCTTTATCAAAACTGGTTAAAAACCAGCATAATCTACATTCAGGCAGTTATATCCTTAATGCACAAAGTCTATCTTGAATAAAAAGTAGAATCACTAAAAAAAAAAAAATAACCATAAAAACAGCTAAATCTACTTTAGACATTTTAGATAGTATTAACCCATAAAATAACAATAGAAACAGTTGCTTCCATTCCTCAGCTCTCAGTTTCTCTCAAGATCTCCGAGACCTCTGACCTAGTTTAATGGCCTCTGAAAGTAGTTATAAAGAGACGGGCAAATGCACTAAACGTGCTTATATTAAGTAATGTGTTACTTTTTCTTTAGTTAAAATCAATTCAAAAGTAAATACTCATTCCAATAATCAAATAATTATATTTAATAAAACGAATTATGAGAAACAGGATGATGAATAGGATAAACGGTAATCCATGATGAGACGGATTAGAAGCAATACATTTTTAATATGACACAGCATTTCTTTCCCAATGCTGTTCTTTAAAACTTTTGGCTTCAAAGAAGATTTAAACTTTCAGTCTTTGACAAATATTCAGTTTACACACAAATATATAAGTAGTAATATTTGAAAACATTTAATATTGAAAACATAAAAAATGCACATAAAAAGTTGGTGTATAATCAAATTACTTTTACTTGATTATTTTCATACTGATTTCACCCACAGTGCCTGGTGATGTCGACATGTTCCAGGCTTCAGTCAGTATTAGACTTCTAGGAATTTGCAACCCAAAAGTTTGATCTATAATTATTATTCTGTCCCATTATTTTTGGTCCCTTAACAAGTGGGAGGCACATATGCAAACCGTTCTAATTCCTACACCGTTCACCTAATTTGGATGTAAATACCCTTAAATTAAAGCTGAATGCACATCTTGGTTGCTTGTTCAAAACCATTGTGTTTGTGTATAGAGGCGGAAATGTTAGAATTATGTCAATGTCCCAATATTTCTGGACCTAACTGTATGTATGTATGTATGTATGTATGTATGTATGTATGTATGTATGTATGTATGTATGGATGGATGGATGGATGGATGGATAGATATGTGTGTGTGTATACAGGGCTCAAAATATGAGTAAACCCCTCACAAATATCTCATTTAAATTTATGTTTTCTATAGGAAGCTTTATAATAATATATTTGTACATAGACATTATATTAGTACTGAAGCCAAACCTGGAGCTAATCTAACAAAATAACTTTTACAATTAGTACCATTAGTAAATTTAGTAAATATTAAATAAGTCATTTTAAAAGAGCAAAGT